TCCATCTATTCATCAATCCATCCATCCATCTTCCTTCTATGTATCTATCTTCCTTCTATCCATCTTCCTTCTATCTCAAATATTTTACACCATCTTTCTCCTTAAAAAACGACCCAAGGCGGCTTAGATCAGGAAAAGGCAATCTTTAGAAGCTAAAAACTATGTCTGTACAAATATTAAAAAATCAAACATGCACTGAAAGACAGTAAACAAAAGCAACGCCAAAAACACACTGAAAGCCATAAGGCTGAACCATCCTTTTCAAAACTGCACCCAGGTGACCAGCCATAAAGAGAAAACCTGCCGGAAGAGAAAGGTCTTCTTTGCCTGCTTGCGGAAGGAGAGCCAAGATGGGGCCAGCCTGGCTTCCAGTGGGAGGGAGTTCCACAGTCTTCAAGCAGCCACAGAGAAGGCCCTCTCCCGTGTCCCCACCAAACGGTGGGATCAAGAAAGGGGCCTCTCCTAATGATCTTCACACCCGGGCAGGCTCATAACTTTCCAGTCGCAGCACAGAATATCCAGCGAGACAGTCCAAGAGCAAAACTCAGTGTGCAGCTGCTTTGTTATGCTCATGCAGCAAACACCTCCCTGTTCAATTCCATGCATTCCATGAGTAAAGCAGCCCCTTTGTTCTAAGCCACCTGCTGCTCCTCGGCTGAATCAAAACAGGACTCCCATTCAAAAGGGGGGTAAGTCTGTATTACACCTCTTCCTTCCTTCCTTCCTTCCTTCTTTACAAGCTCTCTTACATAGCCTCTCTCCCCCAAAAGCTATCCAAGCCTAAGTGGCAAACGGCCACACACTCTCTGCAGCTTGGCCTGATTCTGCACTACCAAGTTGTCCCGGATGGATGGTGACCTTACAAATCAATGACTTTCCAAAAACAAAAAAAAAGGATCATGGCTTCCTTGGTTGGGTCAATTCATCTCTTGTTAGGAGCTCCTCTTTTCCTACCACCATCAATGAACCCTTTAAAAAATACAATCGTGAAGAATGGTTCCTGCACAGAAATGATGAGGCATTAACACAAAAGGAACCTCCACGACCCCTCCAACGGAAGCACACAGATTTTTTTAAATTACTTCTTAAGAATAACAAGAAAATCTAGATAACCAAGGAGACCCCACTCTTAAAACCACCCTCCCGTTTTGGGAACGGTGTTGCCTGCGTCTGGAAAACAGTAATAATAAGATCTCAAACCTGGACTCAAACTTTACACACACATTCTCTCTTCCATCCCCTACAAAACACCATTGTAAGGTAGGCCAGTCTTCCTATCTATGTGCTATAGCTGGAAACAGCTGAATCTGAGAAAAAAGAGCCCTCCTAAGTGGCTTGCATACCTGCCAATTTTTACTGACTAATGGACGAGACTCGTATAGGATTTCATTGATAACGATTTCTGGGCTAGGATGGGATTTCAACCGGGGGGAGGGGGGTCCATTCCCAGCTTAGCCTCTTAAAAACGTGGCCATAACCACTATCTTTAACTCACCGAACAAATCCATTACTGGTCTTTTGGGCTTGAAACCAAGAGGGTTTTTTCAAGAAGAGAAATCAGGAAGGACCAAACCTATTCCACTGCCTGAGGTAAAGCTGAACCAAACCGAGTGTGCAAGGCCTTGAGCCAGTCAACTTTCACAAAGACCACTTCTACTCGCCGGTAAAAATGCAATTACATGAAACCAAAACACCACCTTCGCAGGGGCTCCGATGTTGCGGAAGCAGCTCCCGGTGGTGGTCCGCCTGGCCTAACATTCAGAAAAACAACTTAAAACATTGCTTTTCAGAGAGGCTTTCCACATCAACCCGTTTGGATTTACACTCCCTGTTTTGTCGTCCTACAGGGAACGGTCTTTAGCGCCTCGGATCCTCATTCTACTAACGTTTTAATTCTTGTGCACTTATTCTTTAGCACTGGACGTTGTATCTATTGTTGTAAACTGCCCCAGAAAAGTACGTTGCGCTAATGGGGTGGTATATAAATCAAACAAATAAATAAATGATCAATAATTCTCTTCCATCTATCCATGACACCTAAAATCTGTTCCCTGAGGCTGCAGTCAGAATATACTTAAAATAGGATCCATGGCAAGTCTATTAATCAATGGTCTACTCGCCTCACATTTTTACTGAAGGTTCAACAGATCTACCATCTGGAGCACCGTCATGTTTGTGAACCACTTCTTCCCACTTTTTCAACACCCCTCCACAAAAAAACAATCCATCAGGGCAGGAACAGAATACATACAAAGTGAAAACAAGTTTAAATCCATACCATCTTACTTTGTGGCACACCCTTTCTCGGGTGGGGAAGGGACTTCTCAAATTCTCAGACGCTGGCATCAAGTTTTAGATGGCTGAGATACTCTTCCAGAGCAGCCTCACACAGAGAGCATGCCCAAGCATTGATGATCACACATCCCTTGCTTATACGCAAAACAGGCCTGTGCCATCCTAGACGCACAAACACACATATTTTTACACTTAAGCTATCCCAGTGCCACAGTAATCCCACACTCTTGTTTGAAACCGACACTTCCACCGCAGATGCAACGCTTTGGAAGATGGAGGCGCAGCAACAGTTTGCAAAACCCTCCTGTCACGCTCTCCTTCTTTGCAACAGGCCTCCCCCGGCCAGTCCCTGCAGCGCAAGAGCCTGGCACACCCCACAGCTCAGCTGCAGGACTACTCCTTCCGCCAGAGACCCGTCAGCCAGCCACCTTTCAGTCCTCTCGAGAGGGGCACTGCCATCTCCCTTTCCAACCTGTGCACACGATGCACATGGGAGATGCACACGGGAATGCTCGTCGCCCCCCAAAAGCCCAGCAAGAAACCCACACACACTCCAAACCCAAAACACAGTGAGGTCAAAACACTCCAGCCGATTTGAGCGTGTCAGAGAGAGCAAGCAAGGCTATTAAAGTTTCGTTAAAACTAGGGTTTAATGAAGCAACAGGGAACGTGGTCTATGCCCCATTCAGGATCCGTTCACCTAGAAAACATAGCTGGGACGAAATTCGAACCCTCTCGCTCTATCATGCCCTACTTCCTGCCACCTCCTTTAAAATACATTCCGATTTGAAGCGCCCTGGAGGAAGCGAGCAACCGCCCTGCAAGGCCATCGGGAATAAAATCCATCCTCTGCCCTTCCCCTAATATTCCAGACAAGCTAATTTCTTTTGCACCTTGTAATAGGGTCTAGCAAACCCCAGCAGGAAAGTAGCAAACACAAGGGCTGCCCCCCCTCCCATCCCTGGATCATCCCCACACACCAATGCTGCAAAGCCCAAATGTCTTGCCCACGTTGTTCTCACAAAACTTGGGAGAGACCTGCAGCTCTGCCATGTCCCTGGTTGACTTTTCTTACACCCTGAGGGATCAGCACCTTGACCGAGAAAGAGAAAGAAGAACATACTTGTTCGGAATCAGTTGTTTCAGCCTCCAGGTCTGGCTCGATTTCATGTAACGCGCAAGCTGGTTTCTCATCTAGTAACCTGGGTGCTGTTGTTTTTTTCCAGACGCCTAGAAAAATCCCAAACTCAAAAGCAGACAATATGACACCCTCTTCTCTCTTCTTCCCTGCACCCTGGCTTAGCGTAATTAACCCCCGAAAAGGCACGACGGTCAGCCTCTCTTTCCAATCAATCATCTCGCAGATCTGAATCATCCTAACTTGTCAGCCCCATGATGTCCAAAGTGAGGCAAGGTGGGGGACCGTCGCTTTTTTTTGCCTCTGCACCAGCTCAAGGGAGTTCGCCAGCAAATAACCTGTGATCAGAGTGATCTTGACTGGACGTTCAAAGAAGCCTCTCCTCTCCACCTCTTTTGCTCGACACCATCCCCTTTCAAGGGGACCCTCCTATCCCGAGCTTTTGAACTTCCCTGTTACATATATATATATAAAAGGAAACCAAAACCATTTTTTAAAAAATCGAATTCATCAACCTTTTTTTTTTTGCCTGTTCAGCAAGAGGTGGGTGGGATTTTGATCTTTTCCCCTTTCCCCAGCCCACAAACTCTAAAATCCTCTCACACAAACACACACCACAAAGTCACTTGAGAAGCTTGGAGGGAAGGGTCGCTTCCTTCCCACCCACCCCTTCTTGACACCCCCCAAAAAAAGAAGAAAAAAAAAGACAGAGAAGAAAAAGAAAACCAGAAAAAAAGGGGGGGGAATCTGAATTTCTCCAACCAGACTCTCCCCCCAAAAGAATTAAAACAAAAGGCGGAAGGGGGGGAGAGAGAGAAGCCACGACATCCCCCCCCCCTTTTGGGTCGCCTTTTGGCAAGATCGCTCCACGTTTCCGGGATCCTGCCCTTCCCTCCTCAAAGGACACTCACCTTTGGGTCCGGATCCCTTCCTCTCCGCTTGACCATGGAGCAGGAGAAGTGGCGGGTAGCTCCCCCAAAATGGTGGAAAAAATAAAGGGAATTCCCCCCCCTTTTTTCACCCTCTCCTCTTAAAAAAAATAAATTAAGAAAAAAGAGAGAGAGGAGCCTGCTAAATAAAAGGAAAGGATGCTGCCCGGGGTTCCTCACGGATCAAGCCCCCAGCCCCTGCTCTCCGAGGCTGCCCCCCCCCAAGAAAATTTTTAAAAGGGGGGGGGAAAGGCGCCTCCCCCCTCCTTCCTGCTCCCCTTTGGGCTCAATCAGACCAGACTGACTGTCTTTGTCTGTCTGACAAGCGCCATGTTGATATCAACATCCAAGCTCCCACCTGCCGCCGCC